TGCTACATTGTGTTGTGGTTTACAGCTAGGCACAAGATCCGCATCTCTGAGCCCAACACATCTCACTTCAGCAAATCCTGAAGAAGCTGGTGTCTGCGACATGCCTGTCCAGGTGTGACAATGCCTGTCCAGGTGTGACAATTCTGTGGAGGTGTGACAATGCCTGTCCAGGAGTGACAATGCCTGTCCAGGAGTGACAATGCCTGTTGAGGTGTGACAATGCCTGTCCACGTGTGACAATGCCCATTGAGGTGTGACATGCCTTTCCACGTGTGAAATGCCTGTCCAGGTGTGACAATGCCTGTCCAGGTGTGACAATGCCTGTCCAGGTATGACAATGCCTGTCCAGGTGTGACAATGCCTGTCCAGGTGTGACAATACCTGTCCAGGTGTGACACACCTGTGGAGGTGTGACAGGTGCCTAACAGGTGTGACATGCTTGTCCAGGTGTGACAATGCCTGTCCAGGTGTGACATGCTTGTCCAGGTGTGACAATGCCTGTCGAGGTGTGACATGTCTGTCCAGGTGTGACAATGCCTGTCCAGGTGTGACAATGCCTGTTGAGGTGTGACAATGCCTGTCCAGGTGTGACATTGCCCGTTGAGTTGTGACAATGCCTGTCCAGGTGTGACAATGCCTGTCCAGGTGTGACATGCCTGTCCAGGTGTGACATGCCTGTCCAGGTGTGAAACGCCTGTCCAGGTGTGACATGCCTGTCCAGGTGTGACATGCCTGTCCAGGTGTGACATGCCTGTCCAGGTGTGACATGCCTGTCCAGGTGTGACAATGCCTGTGAAGGTGTGACATGCCTGTGGAGGTGTGACAATGCCTGTCCAGGTGTGACATACCTGTCCAGGTGTGACATGCCTGTCCAGGTGTGATAATGCCTGTGGAGGTGTGACAATGCCTGTCCAGGTGTGACAATGCCTGTCCAGGTGCGACAATGCCTGTCCAGGTGTGACAATGCCTGTCCAGGTGTGACAATGCCTGTCCAGGTGTGACAATGCCTGTCCAGGTATGTCAATGCCTGTCCATGTGTGACAATGCCTGTCCATGTGTGACAATGCCTGTCCAGGTGTGTCAATGCCTGTCCATGTGTGACAATGCCTGTCCATGTGTGACAATGCCTGTCCAGGTGTGACAATGCCTGTCCAGGTGTGACAAGGCCTGTCCAGGTGTGACAATGCCTGCCCAGGTGTGACAATGCCTGTCCAGGTGTGACAATGCCTGTCCAGGTGTGACAATGCCTGTCCAGGTGTGTCAATGCCTGTCCAGGTGTGACAATGCCTGTCCAGGTGTGACAATGCCTGTCCAGGTGTGACAATGCCTGTCCAGGTGTGACAATGCCTGTCCAGGTGTGACAATGCCCGTCGAGGTGCAGTGGGTCTATTCATTTTTCCTCACCCAAAATGAGGCTCTGGGCCCCTACAGGAAACTTGTGACAATATTTAACTAATAATTTATATCCACGCTGACTGACTTGGCCTAATTTTGTCTGTCCCAGGTTAGAGTCGCTACCAAATACATTCAGAAGCTGGCCGACCCTGAGAGAAGTCTGTTTATAATGCCCAGAAGTTGCAGGGTCTGATGCTTCCAATCAGTCTGGTGGCACCTGAGCTGATAGCGCCCTCATACAATGAGCGAACTGGATTTACAAAGCATGCTCAGGAAGGTCGAATCAGGTTTTCTTTGTATGTAATGGGCTGCATCAATCCAGCGGTTGCCGGTGGTGACAGTCACATGGATATTTTGTCCAGGCCATGTAGGCATGTTGGGAATAAGCAGGCAGATATTTTTTCTGGAATGGTCCAGTTTGGGGGTGTACTGCAGCTGCACAAGGTACAGGTGATCTCTCGCCTGTGGGACCAGGTAACTAGTAAAATGGAAAATTATGAAAACTGGCACCTGCAGTAGGGAGTGTCTGCTGCTTCTGGGTGTTACTAGAGACTTGGGGAGGTAAGATGAGTAGTTAACCTTGGGGAGGTAAGTTGAGTAGTTAACCTTGGGGAGGTAAGTTGAGTAGTTAACCTTGGGGAGGTAAGTTGAGTAGTTAACCTTGGGGAGGTAAGTTGAGTAGTTAACCTTGGGGAAGTAAGTTGAGTAGTTAACCTTGGGGAGGTAAGTTGAGTAGTTAACCTTGGGGAGGTAAGATGAGTAGTTAACCTTGGGGAGGTAAGTTGAGTAGTTAACCTTGGGGAGGTAAGTTGAGTAGTTAACCAGACGACAACAGGCACCATCAGTATGGAGACCCTTCCCTGGCCACCAGGACGCAGCTAACAAGGGCTTGTCCTGAATGTTGTGTTGTCAATCTTCACCCAGGTACAATAAGGGAAGGATGTGAAGACATGTCATAATCTCAATTATGTTGAAGAAATAACTTCTCGAACAGAAGAAATTACAGAAACAACTGTGAAATGGAAGAAATTACTGAAACGAGTGAAGCCAAAGAACAGAAACAACTGTGAAACAGAAATCATTGGAGCAATATCTGTGAAACAGAAACCATTAGAGCAATATCTGTGAAACAGAAACCATTAGAGAAATATCTGTGAAACAGAAACCATTAGAGCCATATCTGTGAAACAGAAACCATTAGAGCAATATCTGTGAAACAGAAATCATTAGAGAAATATCTGTGAAACAGAAACCATTAGAGCAATATCTGTGAAACAGAAACCATTAGAGCAATATCTGTGAAACAGAAATCATTAGAGAAATATCTGTGAAACAGAAACCATTAGAGCAATATCTGTGAAACAGAAACCATTAGAGCAATATCTGTGAAACAGAAACCATTAGAACAATATCTGTGAAACAGAACATAAATATATCAGTGCAAAACCTGATGACAATCCTGTAGTGCAACACTGAGAAAGCTCTAGAACTTGAAGCATGAGCTACACCAACTATTGCGAGCTGTACTCACCTCTGACACACTCCCCAGCATCTCACTGAGCACTTCCGGTGACTCCTTGATCTCCATGAACTTGTGACAGAAGTCTTGCTCCGACATGAAGCTTGTGGTCAGCATGTTGAGAAGGACACCACCCACAGAAAACAGGTCACTCTTCTCGTCATGCGCCTGCTGGCCAATCTCTGGTGCCATGTAAAGGGTTCCCACTTGATGCACATGGAAACAGGAGATATTTGAACATAATACTAGATATAGTTATGCCTCGTTTTGTTTTGTTTATTTTGCTTTACATTTTCATCCGTAACTAGGGACGCCACCGCGACCAACAAAACCAGCCCGAATTGACCATTACTTAGAAATTATTTTTCCGTGCTCTTTACCGGAAAGATCAAATCGGAAACAATTATTAGGAGTTATTGAAGAGATGGTAGGCTTTGACTTGACATGATTTTGACGCGCATACGATAAATATATTTTTTCTGGCAGCACGCAGTGAATTAACGGTAAGTAAGTTTGTAAATATCTTCTTTATTAGCCAAATTAAGGAAATTTGTGGTGTATTTTTTAATTCTGCATTAATTTTTAAATAAGTATAGGAAATTTCACAAAGATTGGCTGAGAGCTAATGTTTAAAAATTTTTTTTAGTGGCATCACAGTTTTTTGCTTCAAATTAAAAATGTCTGCACTAGAAGACCGTTTGTCCCGCTTTATATTTAACTTAAAATAATTAATAAATTAACTAAGGTTATTTTAATCATTAAAAAAAAAATCCACAACCATTGCAGCATTTGTTCATGCTTCTGTCATTATTTAGAGCTCTTCGTATTTTCTGTTTGAGATATTTTTTCATGATCACCCCCAAATCCCAATAATTAATTTCGGCCATCATTAATTAACTTAAGATACTTAGTGAATTAATAATGTTAAGTGAGCTACTTTTTAAACATCTACAAATCTTGTAGCATTTTTTTAATGCATCTGTCATTATTTAGAATTCAAGTCGAATTGGTAAATATAAGTGGTCGAGAAACAACAGCAGCGCTGACCGCGTTTCTGTCCATCAGGCCTGCCAGTACTTGGGCTTTCTTCCAAGATCTGGGTTTTTATTCGACGCCTTGGGTTAAGATTTTGGAATCTTGTTTTTGTTTTTAAATATATATATATCCTCATTTAAAGTAGGTAAATGTTTCATTCCGTAACTATAAAATATGTACTATTTATCAATTGCGGTTTTTGTTTTTGCTTATGTATTGCTTGGGTTTTTGGTCAGCTTAGCTTGGGTTGTGACATGCTTGGCTGCTATAGATCCATTTCTTACATTCAATGCTGGGTGGACATGGGGGTCAAGGTCATTTTTGAAAGAAAAGAAAATCCGGCCTGACCTGATTCCCAGAAATGAACACACCTGTTGTGTTTGCCCTATTGTTAATACTGTCACCGACCCATTATGAAAACAGGCCATGTACTACCAGTGGGCTCATGTTTTCTTCTACCATACAGAACAGAGAGCTGGGGGAAAGGGGGGGGGGGGGGGGGTAGAAGATTGAGAGGAAGAGAAGGAGCAGGAGGAGGAGAGAGGAAGAAAAAGAAAGAGACTAAGAAAAGAAAGTTGGCACTGAGACATTGGGATAAAGGAAGGAAAGGAGAAATAAAGAAAAAAAGAGGAGCGATACAAGGGGAAGAAGGTAGCAGCAAAGGGTTGCAGCCACCCCAGGTATCATCGCTGTGGGGGGGGGGGGGGGGGGGGGGTCGACCACCTAGGGTGACATCACTGTGGGAGGTGGGGGGGGGGGGGGGGTGGTGATTGTGATGGTGACTGTGAGAGTGATAGTGATTGTGATGGTGATTGTGAGAGTGATGGTGATTGTGACTGTGAGAGTGAGAGTGATGGTGATTGTGGGAGTGACGGTGGTTGTGAGAGTGATGGTGATTGTGGGAGTGACGGTGGTTGTGAGAGTGATTGTGATTGTGAGAATGATGGTGACTGTGAGAGTGATGGTGACTGTGAGAGTGATGGTGACTGTGAGAGTGATGATGACTGTGAGAGTGATGGTGACTGTGAGAGTGATGGTGATTGGGAGAGTGATGGTGATTGGGAGAGTGATGGTGACTGTGAGAGTGATGGTGACTGTGAGAGTGATGGTGACTGTGAGAGTGATGGTGACTGTGAGAGTGATGGTGACTGTGAGAGTGATGGTGACTGTGAGAGTGATGGTGACTGTGACTGTGTGAGCGATGGTGACTGTGAGAGCGATGGTGAATTTGAGAGTGAAGGTGACTGTGAGGGATGTTGAGTGTGAGAGTGATGGTCACTGTGAGAGCGATGGTGACTTTGAGAGTGAAGGTGACTGTGAGAGTGATGGTGACTGTGAGAGTGATGGTCACTGTGAGAGCGATGGTGACTTTGAGAATGATGGTGACTTTGAGAGTGATGGTGACTGTGACAGTGATGGTGATTGTGAGAGTGATGGTGATTGTGAGAGTGATGGTGACTGTGAGAGTGATGGTGATTGTGAGAGTGATGGTGATTGTGAGAGTGATGGTGATTGTGAGAGTGAGGGTGACTGTGAGAGTGATGGTGATTGTGAGAGTGATGGTGATTGTGACAGTGATGGTGATTGTGAGAGTGATGGTGATTGTGATAGAGATGGTGATTGTGACAGTGATGGTGATTGTGACAGTGATGGTGATTGTGACAGTGATGGTGATTGGGAGAGTGATGGTAATTAGGAGAGTGATGGTGATTGTGACAGTGATGGTGACCATGGGAGTGATGGTGATTGTGAGAGTGATGGTGACTGTGAAAGTGATGGTGGTGAGACATGTGACTTTAAGAGTGATGGTGACTGTGATGGTGAGTGATGGTGATTGTGAGAGTGATGGTGACTGTGTGATGGTGATTGTGAGAGTGATGGTGATGAGAGTGATGGTGACTGTGAGAGTGATGTGACTGTGAGAGTGATGGTGACTGTGAGAGTGATGGTGATTGATGTGAGAGTGATGTGTGACTGTGAGAGTGATGGTGATTGTGAGAGTGATGGTGATTGTGACAGTGATGGTGATTGTGAGAGTGATGGTGATTGTGACAGTGATGGTGACTGTGAGAGTGAGGGTGACTGTGAGAGTGATGGTGATTGTGAGAGTGATGTTGACTGTGAGAGTGATGGTGATTGTGAGAGTGATGGTGATTGTGACAGTGATGGTGATTGTGAGAGTGATGGTGATTGTGAGAGTGATGGTGATTGTGAGAGTGATGGTGACTGTGAGAGTGATGGTGATTGTGAGAGTGATATTGATACAGAAGCAGACGATATAGGAGTGGAGGGTGCAAGCGATTGGGTTGATGATGATGATGGAACAATATCCAAAATTAAATTTATAAAGACTTACAAGGTTCGGCTACCTAGTTAGAATGAATTCAAAAATGCCCACAGCTAAAGCAAACTACATGAAAATGGAAACACCAAGATGAAGAGGGATGACTAGAAGAATATGGACTGAAGGAGTCACTGACTGCCTGAGACTTTGCAACATTGCAGCATACCAAGTAATGAAGCTTGCCCTGCCTGTGCTACCTATCACCTACTAAACTGTGACAAGCTGAGGCAAACAGCAGATGTGGACAAAAGAAGGAAAGAAATGATACTGAGATGGAGCTGATGTTAACAGGTGTACTGACAAAGATGATAAAAGAGTATTACAAATAAACAAATAAATATAATGCTTACAAACTGTCTGTCTGGTGTTTGTCCGTAAATCTGCCATAAGAGAGGAAACACCAAGGTCGCCAAGAATCATGGCTCCTCCTTCTGTTTGGAAAATGTTGCTGGGTTTAATGTTTCTGGGAAAAAGACAGAAGTTTCTCAATATGTTGGCCATGGCTACTTTGAATTACTGCATCAATATGTTGTAACAGAGATAACAATACAAACTGTAACAGAGATTATAACACAAACTGTAACAGAGATTGTAACACAAAACTGTAACTGAAATTGTAACAAAGCTTGCAAGAGAGATTGTAAAAACAGATTGTAATAAAGACTGTAACAGCAATTGTAACAGAAATTGTAACAGAGAGAGTGTAACATAGACTATAACAGAGACAATAAGTCTCAATAAAAAGAATACACAAAGAAGTGCAACAAGTTACCTGTGCACAAATCCACACTCATGGATGTATACCAGCCCATCCAGGATTTCACCAAAGATTTTTTTCACGACCTGAAGACACAAAACAGTCACCAAACACTGATGATATCTTTAAAAAGCAATCATCAAACACTTTGTTAAATTTGCAGGGAAAAGATCACTAACTATGTGATATCTTCATGAAACAATCACAAAAACACCATGTGATATTTTCATGAAACAGTCACCAAAACACCATGTAAAATCTTCATGAAACAATCACCAAAACACCATGTGATATCTTCATGGAACAATCACCAAAACACCATGTGATATCTTCATGAAACAATCACCAAAACACCATGTGATATTTTCATGAAACAGTCACCAAAACACCATGTAAAATCTTCATGAAACAATCACCAAAACACCATGTGATATCTTCATGGAACAATCACCAAAACACCATGTGATATCTTCATGGAACAATCACCAAACACAATGTGATATCTTCATGAAACAATCACCAAAACACCATGTGATATTTTCATGAAACAGTCACCAAACACCATGTGATATCTTCATGAAACAATCACCAAAACACCATGTGATATCATCATAAAACAATCATCAAACACCATGTGATATCTTCATGGAACAATCACCAAACACAATGTGATATCTTCATGAAACAATCACCAAAACATCATGTGATATTTTCATGAAACAGTCACCAAAACACCATGTGATATCTTCATGAAACAATCACCAAAACACCATGTGATATCTTCATGAAACAATCACAAAAACACCATGTGATATCTTCATGGAACAATCACCAAAACAAAATGTGATATCTTCATGGAACAATCACCAAAACACCATGTGATATCTTCATGGAACAATCACCACCACACGTTATTTGTCTCCAGGTGTTTAAATGTTTGTGTTGTATGCTCTTGTTGCCAGCATTGTTGGATTCATTCTCACTTAGTCGTCTCTGTGCATTGTTGGATTCATTCTCACTTAGTGGTCTCCGTGGCACTGTTGGATTCATTTTCACTTAGTGGTCTCCATGGTATTGTTGGATTCATTCTCACTTAGTGGTCTCCGTGGCATTGTTGGATTCATTCTCTCTCAGTGGTCTCCGTGGCATTGTTGAATTCATTCTCACTTAGTGGTCTCCGTGGCATTGTTGGATTCATTCTCACTTAGTGGTGTCCGCGGCCTGCGGTCAAGTCATTCATTTGGCATCGGTCAGTCATCTCCATGGTATTGTTGGATTCATTCTCACTTAGTGGTCTCCATAGCATTGTTGGATTCATTCTCATTTAGTGGTCTCCGGGGCATGCGGTCAAGTCATCTCCGTGGCCTGTGGTCAAGTCGTCTCCATGGCATGTGGTCAAGTCGTCTCCATGGCATGCGGTCAAGTGGTCTCTGTGGCATGCGGTCAAGTGGTCTCTGTGGCATGCGGTCAAGTCATCTCTGTGGCATGCGGTCAAGTCATCTCCGTGGCATGCGGTCAAGTGGTCTCTGTGGCATGTGGTCAAGCCATCTCCGTGGCATGCGGTCAAGTCATCTCCGTGGCATGTGGTCAAGCCATCTCCATGGCATGTGGTCAAGTAATCTCCATGGCATGCGGTCAAGCCATCTCCGTGGCATGCGGTCAAGCCATCTCCGTGGCATGTGGTCAAGCTGCCTCCGTGGCATGTGGTCAAGCCGTCTCCGTGGCAAGCTGTCAAGCCGTCTCCGTGGCATGCGGTCAAGCTATCTCAATGGCATGCGGTCAAGCCGTCTGCCTCATGCTCTCAAGGTGTATTTTTCAGTTCATAAATGCCATCTTTATAAAGATCCCTGGAGATTATCACTACAGCTATGGAGTTTGTGCTTTGTGAGGCTTATCTCGACAGGTGGCTAGCTGTTTTGCAGAGAGAAATTGAGCCATACGTTACAAAACCTAGTACAATATTGTCGATCCTCTCGACTTTGAATATTTATGCCTATCTCTCTGAAACAAATGTACTACATCATGTTTGCATGAAGTTTGTGAAGATTATGGGGCTGTTTGTTTGAGACCTCTTCTGGAGTCAGACTTGATTAGCTATAGATTTGGCTGGGAATACAAGATTAAAGATTCAACCTCCATCTTTGTGAGAGCATGAGTCCAGAGACCCACACAATGCACATATAACGTATAGCACAGATAAGATCCTTAGCAGGCTTGAAAAACTTTCTTTTTCTTTCTCGTACTCTTCATCCTCATTCATCTTCATTCTTCATCCTTTTTTCTTGTTCTTTTTTTTTCCTTTCCCATTTCTCCTTCTCCTACTTGGCTGCCTTCCTCCTTTTTCATACACCTCCTCCTCCTCCTTCACACTTCTAGTTTTTCATCCTTCACCATTCTGTTTTATCTACTTCCCTTGTATTCTTTATATTCATCTTCTTTCTCTTTTTGAGCTTTCTTTCTCTTTCAATTTCATGTGTGCAAACAATCGGCATTCTTATTTGTATTATCTGTCTCACACACACACACACACACACACACACAAGTATATTTGCATGTTCTGTGTTGAACATTTGTCCTGGATACTTCTGATCTTCCTGTTTATCTCTCTGTGTCTTTCTCTCACTCTCTGTCTTTCCCACCAACTCTGTCAGAGACACAAATGCACATACTCATGCATGAATGCTATCTGCTATCATACACACACACAAACAAACAAGTAGACTCACATGTTCTGGGATGATCTCCTGTCTGTCCTGGTAACCTCTAATAAACGTCTTCAAGCTTCCAGCGGGAAAGTATTGTGTGACGATGTTGATAAACATGGAGGATGACTGTGGAGAAGAGCTCCAGACTTAGTTCTGGCCAATGATTTGTTTGTACACACACACTAGACAAACACACACACACTACACTGAAGGTGTATGAAGACACACAAAGACTCAAAGGTGAAGTATATAGACTCAATAATGAAGGTGCATGTGACTAGACTCAATGTGTGTATGTCCTGAAGGTGTACTACTAGACTCAATGAAGGTTCCCTAGACTCAATGAAGGTGTATGTGACTAAATGTGTATGTGACTAGACTCAATGTAGGTGTACTCTAGACTCTCACTCTCTGTCTTTCCCACCAACTCTGTCAGAGACAATGAAGGTGTATGTGACTATACTCAATGAAGGTGAATGTGACTATCTCAATGAAGGTGTATCATACTCAATGAAGGTGTAAACAAACTCAATGTATGTGACTCACATGTGTTGTGACTCGACTCAATGAGGTCTCCTGTCAATGAAGGTGTATCTGACTAGACGTCTTGAAGCTGTACCCTGACTAGACTCAGAAGGTGTATGTGAAAGACTCAATGAAGGTGTATGTGACGATGAAGGTGATAGACTCAATGAAGGTATGTGACTGTGAAGGTGTAGAAGACTAGCTCAATGACTTGACTAATTCTGACTAGACCAATGAAGGTGTACGTGACTAGACTCAATGAAGGTGTATGCAGACTCAATGGTGTATGTGACTAGACTCAATGAAGGTGTACGTGACTAGACAATGAAGGTGTATGTGACTAGACTAGAAGGTGTAACGTGACTAGACTCAATGAAGGTGTACATGACTAGACTCAATGAAGGTGTATGTGACTAGACTCAATGAAGGTGTATGTGACTAGACTCAATGAAGGTGTATGTGACTAGACTCAATAAAGGTTTATTTGACTAGACTCAATGAAGGTGTATGTGACTAGACTCAATGAAGGTGTATGTGACTAGACTCAATGACTAACGGACTCAATGAAGGTGTATGTGACTAGACTCAATGAAGGTGTATGTGACTAGACTCAATGAAGGTGTATGTGACTAGACTCAATGAAGGTGTATGTGACTAGACTCAATGAAGGTGTATGTGACTAGACTCAATGAAGGTGTATGTGACTAGACTCAATGAAGGTGTATGTGACTAGACTCAATGAAGGTGTATGTGACTAGACTCAATGAAGGTGTATGTGACTAGACTCAATGAAGGTGTATGTGACTAGACTCAAAGGTGTATGTGAGACTCAATGGTGTATGTGACTAGACTCAATGAAGGTGTATGTGACTAGACTCAATGAAGGTGTATGTGACTAGACTCAATGAAGGTGACTAGTAAGGTGACTAGACTCAATGAAGGTGTATGTGACTAGACTCAATGAAGGTGTATGTGACTAGACTCAATGAAGGTGTATGTGACTAATGAAGGTCAATGACTCAGGTGTATGTGACTAGACTCAATGAAGGTGTATGTGACTAGACTCAATGAAGGTGTATGTGACTAGACTCAATGAGGTCAGATCAAAGGTGTATGTGACTAGACTCAATGAAGGTGACTAGACTCAATGAAGGATGTCATGTGACGTGACTAGACTCAATGAAGGTGTATGTGACTAGAAGGTGTATGTGACTCAATGAAGATGTATGTGAAGGTGTATGTGACTAGACTCAATGAAGGTGTATGTGACTAGACTCAATGAAGGTGTATGTGACTAGACTCAATGAAGGTGTATGTGACTAGACTCAATGAAGGTGTATGTGACTAGACTCAATGAAGGTGAAGTGTGACTCAATGAAGGTGACTAGACTCAATGAAGGTGTATGTGACTAGACTCAATGAAGGTGAATGTGACTAGACTCAATGAAGGTGTATGTGACTAGACTCAATGAAGGTGTATGTGACTAGACTCAATGAAGGTGTATGTGACTAGACTCAATGAAGGTGTATGTGAAGGTGTATGTACTACTCAATGAAGGTGTATGTGACTAGACTCAATGAAGGTGTATGTGACTAGACTCAATGAAGGTGTATGTGACTAGACTCAATGAAGGTGTATGTGACTAGACTCAATGAAGGTGTATGTAGACTCAGAAGGTCAACTGAAGGTGTATGTGACTAGACTCAATGAAGGTGTACTGACTCAATGACTAGTGACTCTCAATGAAGGTGTATGTGACTAGAGACTCAATGAAGGTGTATGTGACTAGACTCAATAAGGTGTACTCAATGAAGGTGTATGTGACTAGACTCAATGTAAGTGACTGTCATGTGACTAGACTCAATGAAGGTGTATGTGACTAGACTCAATGAAGGTGTATGTGACTAGACTCAATGAAGGTGTATGTGACTAGACTCAATGAAGGTGTATGTGACTAGACTCAATGAAGGTGTATGTGACTAATGAAGGTGTATGTGACTCAATGAAGGTGTATGTGACTAGACTCAATGAAGGTGTATGTGACTAGACTCAATGAAGGTGTATGTGAAGGTGTATGTGACTAGACTCAATGAAGGTGTATGTGACTAGACTCATGAAGGTGTAAGGACTAGACTCAATGAAGGTGTACTAGACTCAATGAAGGTGTATGTGACTAGACTCAATGAAGGTGTATGTGACTAGACTCAATGAAGGTGTATGTGACTAGACTCAATGAAGGTGTATGTGACTAGACTCAATGAAGGTGTATTTGACAGACTCAATGAAGTGTATGTGACTAGACTCAATGAAGGTGTATGTGACTAGACTCAATGAAGGTGTATGTGACTAGACTCAATGAAGGTGTATGTGACTAGACTCAATGAAGGTGTATGTGACTAGACTCAATGAAGGTGTATGTGACTAGACTCAATGAAGGTGTATGTGACTAGACTCAGAAGGTGAATGTGACAATCAATGAAGGTGTATGTGACTAGTCAATGAAGGTGTACTGACTAGACTCAATGAAGGTGTATGTGACTAGACTCAATGAAGGTGTATGTGACTAGACTCAATGAAGGTGTATGTGACTAGACTCAATGAAGGTGTATGTGACTAGACTCAATGAAGATGTATGTGACTAGACTCAATGAAGGTGTATGTGACTAGACTCAATGAAGGTGTATGTGACTAGACTCAATGAAGGTGTATGTGACTAGACTCAATGAAGGTGTATGTGACTAGACTCAATGAAGGTGTATGTGACTAGACTCAATGAAGGTGTATGTGACTAGACTCAATGAAGGTGTATGTGACTAGACTCAATGAAGGTATGTAGACTCAATGAAGGTGTATGTGACTAGACTCAATAAGGTGTGTGTAGACTCAGTAGACTCCAATGAAGGTGTATGTGACTAGACTCAATGAAGGTGTACATGACTAGACTCAATGAAGGTGTATGTGACTAGACTCAATGAAGGTGTATGTGACTAGACTCAATGAAGGTGTACGTGACGAGACTCAATGAAGGTGGATGTGACCAGACTCAATGAAGGTGTATGTGACTAGACTCAATGAAGGTGTACGTGACTAGACTCAATGAAGGTGTACGTGACTAGACTCAATGAAGGTGTATGTTTGACTGACTCAATGAAGGGTGTACTGACTATACTCAATGAAGGTGTATGTGACTAGACTCAATGAAGGTGTACATGACTAGACTCAATGAAGGTGTATGTGGACTAATGACTCAATGAGGTGTATGTCTAGACTCAATGAAGGTGTATGTGACTAGACTCAATGAAGGTGTATGTGACTAAACTCAATGAAGGTGTACGTGACTAGACTCAATGAAGGTATGTGACTAGACTCAATGAAGGTGTACTGACTGACTAGACTCAATGAAGGTGTATGTGACTAGACTCAATGAAGGTGTATGTGACTAGACTCAATGAAGGTGTATGTGACTAGACTCAATGAAGGTGTATGTGACTAGACTCAATGAAGGTGTATGTGACTAGACTCAATGAAGGTGTATGACTGACTCAGACTGACAACTATGAGGTGTATGTGACTAGACTCAATGAAGGTGTACGTGACTAGACTCAATGAAGGTGTATGTGACTAGACTCAATGAAGGTGTATGTGACTAGACTCAATGAAGGTGTACGTGACTAGACTCAATGAAGGTGTACATGACTAGACTCAATGAAGGTGTATGTGACTAGACTCAATGAAGGTGTATGTGACTTGACTCAATGAAGGTGTATGTGACTAGACTCAATGAAGGTGTATGTGACTAGACTCAATGAAAGTGAATGTGACTAAACTCAATGAAGGTGTATGTGACTCGACTCAATAAGGTGTATGTGACTAGACTCAATGAAGATGTATGTGACTAGACTCAATGAAGGTTATGGACTATACTCAATGAAGTGTGTGTGACTCCAGACTCAATGAAGTGTATGTGACTAGACTCAATGAAGGTGTATGTGACTAGACTCAATGAAGGTGTATGTGACTAGACTCAATGAAGGTGTATGTGACTAGACCAATGAACGGGTATTCGACTCACCTAGACTCAATGAAGGTGTATGTGACTAGACTCAATGAAGGTGTATGTGACTACTCCAATGAAGTGTGTTGTGACTAGACTCAATGAAGGATGTACTAGACTCAATGAAGGTGTATGTGACTAGACTCAATGAAGGTGTATGTGACTAGACTCAATGAAGGTGTATGTTGACTATACTCAATGAAGGTGTATGTGACTAGACTCAATGAAGGTGTTCAACTAGACTCAATGAAGGTGTATGTGACTAGACTCAATGAAGGTGTATGTGACTAGACTCAATGAAGTGACTTCGTATGTGACTAGACTCAATTGAAGGTGTATGTGACTAGACTCAATGAAGGTGTATGTGACTAGACTCAATGAAGGTGTAATGTGACTAGACTCAATGAAGGTGTATGTGACTAGACTCAATGAAGGTGTCCGTGACCGACTCAATGAAGATGGTATGTGACTAGACTCAATGAAGGTGTACGTGACTAAGACTCAATGAAGATGTATGTGACTAACTCAATGAAGGTGTATTGACTAAACTCAATGAAGGTGTATGTACTATGAAGGACTATGTGACTAAATGAAGGTGTATGGGACTAGACACGGTGGAAAGAAACACGTTTAATATAATGTTGTAGGCTGCTACATCAATGAAGGTAGCAGCTTGATCCTATACGACTGATAATTCCACTCCTGGAAAGATGTCCGTGACAGCCCCAATATGATCGCCAGCTGTATCTCATTTGTATTCAGCTAACAGCTCACAGCTCAACAGCTAACGAGCTTAAGCACTTCTAAGTGGTACACATGGGACCTTCACTACCTTTTATTTAACATCTGGGACATCTGGTCCAATATGGTGGATAGGCACCATAGGCACCATCTGTTAAAGCCCTGGAGTGTTAGCTGCTTGGGGATCATCACCAGAGCTACGGAGTTTGTGCTTTGTGTGATGCTCTCAGTATGTGGCTAGCCGTTCTGCAGAGAGAGACCAGGGATAAAACCTGGTTCAATGAAGTCAATCCTCTTGACTTTAACTTTTAACAACTTTTTATTATTTGTTTCTGGCCACACTTTGATGGTGCATTTGCCCATCAGTCTGCTAATTAGCTAAGTGTATGGTGTGACACTATGCGCTTTGGATTTTATGTGGAATGCAATTTATTTTAACTTTTACAAAGTTTTCTGTATGTGCATTTAGTTCTAGAAATGCAACTATAATATTTATGGATGGCTTTTAACCTGTCTGTGAAAAAATAACTGCCTGTGCCCTATGCAATAATGTGTGTGCAACTTCTAATTTGTTGTGATGGCTGTTTCCTTCAACAATGAACTACAATTCTAGTTGTGGACTATAGGTGTTGGCATCTCTGACAGTTGCCTTATTTAGTAATAAGCATGCTGTTGATTTTGCCAGGACTGCAGTTTGTTCAGTTTAAGACGAGGGACAGTGATAGGTATTCTGCGTGGTTTGCCGCTGGAACAGGAATGGAGCAACTACGTGGTGACCTATTTATTGCAAAGTTAGAATTGCAACTAATAACTGATCATCTGATCACCAAGACAAGGAAATAAAATCTTTACTTAGTTTTACAAAATTCTTTCAGTACCGAACAACGTATGATGTGTGATTAGGTGTTCTATGAATCCCACCCAACATGAAATATGTTATAGAATTTTTTTTTCATTTGACCAGAGCATACTAAGAAAATCTGGCTTGCTTTGTATCTAACTTCTTTGAAAGTAATAGTTTCATGGTTTATCCCATTGGTTTTTTATACATATGGATATTTCATGTGAATCTTTTTGGTACTCAATGAGTTAACACCTCATTTTTCTGCATGAATAAGAAAGAGGTAAATGAGCTGTGCTACAATAGACGTATAATACTCTTCCACTGACCTGTTTATCATATGTTATGAAGAAGTCCTTGTACCCTATTACGTGTGGGTGGTCCAGTTTCATCAGTTCCATCTCCTGTACAACGTACCATACACCAAAATACCATAATAATATATCAATATGAAACAGTTATATTAAAAACAAATTAAATAATAATTCACAAATAGCAAATATTCAAGAGAACTGTGAATCTAGGAGTGTCTAATGCTTTCACTGCTGAGGTCACAGTCAACAAATAAAACAGACCTATTTTACATTGCTATTAATCTCCTCATCCTGCTTCTTCTTCTTCCTTGTTTTTTTCTTCTTCTTCTTCTTCCGTTTCCTCCTCTTTCTTCTTCTTCTTCTTCTTCTTCTTCATCTACTTCTTCTTCAGCCATATACCTCTTGTCGGTATGCTGGCTCTTAATTAAATCACATCAATTAGTCCTATCATGTGCTGTGTTCTGTAACTTCTTTCACGGCCTCCACATACTGTTCACATATGTATCTAATGCTTGTCTGCATATGTATTTTGCCTACTCCTTTATTTCTGCTGCCCTGTGGGCTCCAGTAAAAGGACTTGCTCAAGATACTATTATCAGTGCAACTGAATGTGTATCTTGTACAACGCCACCATAATTTCCTCAGTTCTCAATACATTTCACACATCAACAGCAAAGAATTTAATGAGGAAAATGAGTAAGAGGATGTCAAGAAACAACAAGATGGGTTGGAGGAAGAGGAGAAGGACAACCATAGCTACAAGTGGGAAAAAAGAATGACCAGACATACATACAAAACTGACCTTAATAAAAGCTTTAAAAAAACTCACCTTGTGGAAGGCTTTGATGGCTTCGGTCTCATCCAGACATTCTGTCTGTGAAATACGTGTGACATTTTATTTGACAAGTATTATCTTATAGAATGGCAGTTTTTATTTTATCCTTTAAAACATCCTAGCATCAGAGGTAAGCATCAGAAGTCAGCATCAGAGGTCATCATCTTCACTGGCATCGTTTGTGCCGTTATAGGTCCTAAATAGCTCACAGCCTATTCCTCCATTCTGTTTTATCCTATGGCCTCTTTGGCTTCTCTTATCAATGTACATAATGACATTCTTAATTCATTTGTTTCCCACTTAAATGCCTGTTTGGTAATTCTCTGTTCATCACAGGTCTACACAGCATTAAATGAGTCTCAGGAAATTTTCTTGGAAGCAAAGGTGACCTGTGTGATAATGAGCACAACATCCAGCAAGTGCCAATGAGTCTAACCACAATAAATTTTCAGTACATATCATGGTGTAGTTGAGGTTCATGTGCTTTTTTTATCATTTAATATGAGAATCATTTTGAGACACAATTAATGTTGGGACATAACTAATTTGGGGACAGATTTCATATTAGGACATAAAACTCCTGATAGGACATATAATTCATGTTAGTACATATAATTCATATTGAAACATATAACTCATTTTGGGATATAACTCTTGTTGGAATAGAAGCCATGTTGGGATACAGCTCATGTTGGGATAGAACTCATGTTGGGACATCTCATGTTGGGACATCTCATGTTGGGGTAGAATTCATGGTGGGATAAAGCTCGGGGTGGGATAGAGCTCATGTTGGGATAGAATTCATGATGGGATAGAACATGTTGGAATAGAATTCATGATGGGATAGAACTCATGTTGGGATAAAACTAATGTTGAGATATAATTCTTGTTGGGATAGACTCATGTTGGGATAGAACTCATGTTGGGATAGAACTCATGTTGGGATAGAACTCATGTTGGGATAGAACTCATGTTGGGATAGAACTCATGTTGGGATAGAACTCATGTTGGGATAGAACTCATGTTGGGATAGAACTCATGTTGGGATAGAACTCATGTTGGGATAGAACTCATATACAAACTGAGCAGCAGCAGCCGCACATGTTCCAGTTTTCTCTTCTCACGAATCTCACAAAACAAGCAACAGCCTCTTTCTGGTGTCTATGATACGTTTTCTTCATGTCTTACCCTCTTTTAAATCATTCAGATTTCTCATCAGGCCATGCAATGAGTTTCTGGCATTGTAAAACCACATCTCTAATGAGCAATTTTATTGTTGTTGCTTGTTTACTGATTGTAAAGGAGATAAAGACTGAATAAATCAAAGATCACAAAGCAATCCAGGAAAAAGATGATGAAACGATGTTGACCGGAATCCAGGAAGAAGATGATGGAACGATGTTGACAGGAATCCAGGAAGAAAATGATGGAACGATGTTGACCGGAATCCTGGAAGAAGATGAATGAACTATGTTGACCGGAATCCAGGAAGAAGATGATGGAATGATGTTGATCGGAATCCAGGAAGAAGATGATGGAATGATGTTGATCGGAATCCAGGAAGAAGATGATGGAACAATGTTGACCGCAATCCAGGAAGAAGATGATAGAACGATGTTGACCGCAATCCAGGAAGAAGATGATAGAACAATGTTGACAGCAATCCAGGAAGAAGATGATAGAAGGATGTTGACAAGTGTAAAGTCTAGAGGTGGACAAACAACCAGAACTTTTCACCAGAGATTGCAGCCAGTGAAGGAAAGGAAGAAGAAGCAGAAGATTTCAGCTTCACTTTAACTGATACAAGACATGTTCAGACTTCAGGTCACTTTCAAGTGACTGACATGGACTTCCGTTAACGTCTCCAGTACTAGCTCTAAATTACTTCAGCTCCCAGCATCCTGGGAGTCACCGTGGCAGAGCGGCTAGACGCTCGCCGCGGATCGGAAGGTCGTGGGTTCGCTCCCTGGCGGAGCTAGACTTTTTTCAAAAATGACCTTGGCTCCCAGGTCGACCCAGCCTTGAGTGGGTACCGGGTGCAGTCCCGGGAAAGTGAAGGCGGCCGGCATGATACTGACCACATCACCCATCTTGTGCCGTTGGTCTATAAAAATATAGGTCTAGCTCTATATGCCCTATACGCCTTAAGGCGTGGAAAAGGGTCCTTTACTTTTACTTTTTTTTTCCCAGCATCCTGACAACTTCAGTTTTAAAGTGACCAATTTTTTTTAGTCCCAAGAATTTTTTTAAAAAGTACGGTGTACAAGAAAAACTAACAGTTAATTAATAATGACTTTAAGTAACTAGTGTGATAGAAGAGAGCCAGGAATTGGTACTGTCTTCAGACTAAACAATGAATGTATGAACAGCTGCATACTAAAGAAAGAGGTAAAAACTCAGCACTCAAAAATAAAAAAAAACCCCACAAAGTCATCAGTTCAAATGTGTTTGATGCAGGCTAAGCAAACAGAACAAGCAAACACTCATGCCACAAAACAAAACTTTACCTACATACATTCAGTAAACATCTGGAGAAAACATAGCAGCTAACTGTGGCCACAAGCAAATAACTTGCCAAGACTAAAATAGCCAGCCTATCCGCCATACTGGACCAGAAGTCCTCTGAACTGACAAACTAACTGATCTACCTTCTTGAGAGCATACTGCTTGCCATCCTCCCATGACTCCAGCAGGTACACGGAGCTGGGTGAGCTCTTGCAAATGCACTCTTTGATCTGCAGAAATGGGAGATATGTTTCATTCAAATAACTTCCCTGTGTGGGTTATGGGGCCCTATTGTGGGAAAAACAAGAATACATCCACCGGGAGTAGGAGTAGACTAACTGGGAGCTTCCTTCAAAGTCAGAGTGCATCTGCTTGAGCGGCTAGGAACAATCAGTTGCACACACATAAAGC